CCCCAAAACCCCAAAACCCCAAAACCCCAAAACCCCTGCAGCCTCAGAATAAAATGAAGAAAATATATTATAATAAAAACTAGCATGGATAGTACATTTCTGAAATATGGAGATGTGATTAACCTCTATTCAGAGAGTGGTCCTGGCTACCTTCAGTCACAAGGGTAAGATTTATCAAAGTCTAACTTAATAGATTTACAAACCCAGGTTGCTTCATCCAGTACCAGCCCAAGGAGACAAGGCAGGCTTGTAGGAACTATCGGGATTTCTGCTACAAGATCTTGCCAAAACTAACCTACGATGCGAGGAAGGAGTATCATAATTTGAGAAAGCACAAAGAGAAAAATGCAAACAATAAAGATGCCCTTATCAACATGTAATTCACTTTTGATAACCTCTAGAGAGCAAAAGCTCATGATTTATAAGAAGAAAGTCAAAGACGAAGAGGAAATCAACAAGAAAGTCTGACAGATGAAAGAAGGAGAATGGGTCACCTACGGCAATGAAATCCAGCTCATGCACAGTGATTCTTTAGGTATGCCACTCAAAACTTTTCTCTAAGATTTTTCTCGAATATAGCTAGATCATCTTGTAACGTCATTCTGTATAGGGTTTGTCACTGCTAATAAACTATGTGCTGAATTTGACAGAAGCTGTAACAAGATAGAAATCACTGAGAAAGGTTCATACTCTGCAATATTCAGGGTTCTTCCGAGGTACAAATTTCGGCAAGAAGGAGAAAACGTACTTTACCGAGACCAAATTGTATTCTTGAATATTAAAACAAATCTGTACCTTCACATCACAGAGAATTGGATTGAGAAAACCACTCCAATCAAGCCACCTCGTGAGGACTGGAGGCCTCTAGATGCTGATAGGCGGGAAGACCCGGCAGAATTTGTTAAAAGATTTGAAGTAAATTGTTCCACTTCGAGTTCAAGATTCCAAGCTGTACCAATGGCACAAATTAACGAAGATCCAAATAATAAGCTTATCAAAGGTAATCAGGTTATTAGACTGCAGCATACAGAGCTTGGCGGTTACCTCACCTCCGACGACCTTGACTTCACTGGTGATGAGCTTGCTGAAATCTATGTCAAATGCTATAACGGTGACCCTAAAGATATCGAAGCTGTCAGCTCAGGAGATTTATTCGAGCTCGAAATTGCCACAAATTATGAGAGAGGGAAAGTATGTATATGGACTGACCCCAAAGATGTCAATAACTCCTTCCAATACAGGCTGAGGCACCTTAACTCTGGAAGAGTAGTCAGAACTCAAGAGGTTAAAATCACGGACGATTTTACCTCTCTTGGACTAGCCGACCATCCAGTCGAAGGAAAAGAGTTGGAAGATTCTGATATTTCCCTTATGAGCCTTATCTCTACTTCAGTTGATACAGATAACAGGATTAGAGCAGGCACTAGTCTCAAAATACAGTCAAGCAAAGATGGAAAGTTTCTCTCAACTAAATACGACAAGGAATGGACTGGAGGAGTCCAAGGTGGAGGAGAGCGTACCAACTCTAAAAGAGGGTTCCGACCAAATAAGAAGGATTCCTTCTCTGAACTCATTGGAGAAGTCGAAAATATAAACAACACTATCGAATATCAAGGTATTAGGAATAAGGGTAAAAAGACCGGTATCTATAACCCTCTGGATGATGAGGAACTCTATAACTGTAGAAATCTGGTTGTTGAACTTCTCAAAAATGCATCTAATGAGGATACCTTCATGATCATTCCTGTCGATGAAAATGAAATTAGAGATTTGCTATTTATTCAAACTGTATCAAGCCAGCTGTTTAATTATACAAGGTATCTCAGAGCCAATAAGATTGATGAGATCAAGAAGGCCTATAATGCCAAAATTATAGAATTGCTTACAAAATTGATCTTCTTCATAATTGATACTGAAGGGAGTGATCCAATAACATGTACAGGTGACCCTATAAAGCCTAGGCAGAAACTTATGAGAGAGCTTAGAGTTATAGAGCTCCTAGTTGATTGCCTCTACTACCCGTTCAAGGACAACAAGGATTCAATCTCTTCTCTTACTGATGACATGCCGTTAAAGAAAATTAGCATCCTGTGTTATAGATTGATTCTTCACTCAGTTAAAGACTATCGCTTAAATGAGCTATACGCAAGTCAGTGGATCGAGCTCTACTTTGAGCAGTCTCTAGCTTCCATTGAGGTGAATATCAAAGCTGAGAACACAATTGCTGTGCTGATTTCTAATAATAGGATCCTCTTGGAAAAACAGATCACCACCAATACGATTGATAAGTTTATCAGCCTCTGAAGGGAGAAGAGGAAGGATGAAAGAGTAGTTCAACTCCTGACAGCTCTCTGCTCATGTGGCTCCCAAGCCATTCTCAGCAACCAGAACGATCTCATTAACATTCTCTTGGAGAAGGATGAAAACAGAGAAACTCTGGTATTTCCAGTCCAAATGAGAAATCAGAGAATTGAGGTTGGAATAGTCGATCAAAAGGGAGAAGAGCGGGAATGGATTGCCTTGAAGCACCTCAAGGAAGATTCTGGAGAATTTGACAACTACAGATTGTACAAATACTGCTGTGCTCTCATTGATCTCGCTTCTGAGATGTGCTTAGAAAGGAACCACAGAGCGCTAAACTATTTCGTTGACATCTATCCTATTGATATTGTTATTAAGTCTATTATGCATAATGAGTTAGATTACAACGTTAAGAGCAAATTCACGAAGATGGTAGAAACTATGTATGTCAACAAGGAGCCATTCGATCATCTACAAGTCCCTCATTTCTCAAGAATTTGGAGTGAAATCTCACTTATCGGCAACAGAATCCAGTATTATAAAGAAGAGATACCAAAGTATCTTCTTGATCTCAAGACTTTTACTATTAAGTATCTCAAAGAAACTAAGGGAGAGCAGAGCATCTTTGATGGAGAAAGGAACCAAATGACTCTTCAGGTGATCAAACTAGTAAAACTGATGGTCTCCTATGGCTTCTACCGGACAAAGGAAGAGCTAAGGGAGCTCTCTATCACCCTCATATCTCTCCTCAACGGCTCATGTGACATCTATGACCTTCAGGAGGAAGATTCCTTCAGCGATGATTACCTCAACCTGAACCATATTCGGAAGATGAAGTCCAATGATCTTGAAAGTAAGATAATCCCTCGCCACCAGAAGACTCAGGATAACATTGTGATTATGTATTGTAAAGAAGAGATCTGTGACATCCTCCTCAGAATCCTAGAAATAGAGGATGACCTCAAGATCTCCCTCTTTCTAGGCTTCTTCAAAGATGGCATTGAGTCCAATATAGTCATGGAAATGGAAGATGAATTTGACAGTCAACTCGGAGCAAGAGAACATACTAATAAAATCTTCCCAAGGGATTCCTCTAGAAGACACTTTGCTGATGATATGAATGAGAACAGACATCTCTCCCAAACCACTAAGGTTCAGAAAGAATCTATTAACAACTCAGAGACGGTCAAATGGCTAGAAAAGGTTTTGATGGGCGAACAGCTGTTCGACGCATTCCCTCAAGGAACCTATGTTTGAATCTTGATGGACTTGTTGGCCTATGACTATACTAACCTGAATAACAAAGCTTTTGAGCTGCTCTTAAAATTCTTCAATCAGAGATACTGCCTCACAGAACTTCTCAAGCAAATCCAGCTTCTTGAGAAAGCAGATAGCATTGAAATCCTCAAAAAGGTCACCAAAATTGGCCTTGAACTTAAAAGCTTTGTTGAGGTAATTAATCAATGGATGGATGAAGAGAAACAGAGTCAGAAGAACATCTTTGATGTCTCTACCAAGCTTATCAGTACGAAGGAGAGTGTGGATTACCTTGTTTCAATCCTTGTCGAGAAGCACCATAGAAGCAGAAGAGGCATCCTCGAAGGTACATTCCTTTACTAATATATTTAGAGATTCCCAATACTGGAAAAAAAAATGAAGATTCCCTTGTAATTGCAGTAAATGGCAGAATTATGAAGAGGAGTGAAATTTCAGACAAAGATCTCACCCCAAATGTAGAGAACCAGAGACTGATGAAGAACCTTGGCATCCCCAAAATCCTTATTAAGATCCTCAAGATTTCTCTCTCTGAAGCACAAAAGTCCAATGAGGATTATCAAGACCTTATCAGGTCGATCTACTTATTCCTCATCAGATTCTGCGCTGATGAGCAGGAATACCAGAACATGATAGGAGAGCACCTGGACTTCTTACTAAAGGATCTTGAGTCTTGACCTCTGGTTGTTTTCCTGATCAAAGAGATTTTTAAGAACAACAAGAGCTTCATCGCATCAAAAAGGACTTATGTAGTACAATACATCGCTCAAAAAGAGGCAAAATTAAGTATTGATTCTGATCAAAAGCAGCATTATTTGATGATCCTAAAGACTTTATCCAAGAATCATAATAAGACCTCAACCAAGACTGCAAATGAGATCCTGAACATAATCACGCCCATTGATGATAGCACCATCCAATGCTTCTTTGAGACCAAAGAAGAGATGGAAAAGGCTAAGAACATGACAAGCGGATTTAAGAAGGATATCGCTAAGCATTCCATGAACGTGAAGGAGAAGGAAGAATCTCCTGAAGAGCAGACTATCCCCAAGTCACAAGTCTTATTTGGTAATTTCAAGATAGTCCTCGACTATCTTGAGAAAGCAGACTTCTTCTTGCCTTTCAAGAAGTCAGTGGTAGAGTACCTCTACCACTTGGTGAAGGCTAACCAGAGAGACATCTACAGCTCAGAGTCCTGTGAGGAGCTACTCTGGAAGATCCTCACTAATCTTGTGCAAGACTGTGAACAGAAGGCAGAGGCTGATGACCTGTACGATGAGGTAAAATCCTACGGGTATCCTCTGAATGAGACCCATAAGTCCATTTCTGATAAGTACATCTTCAAGAATATTTACATTGTGATCTCCACTGTCATGAAGATGAATTTAGATTTTGATGAGAGAGCAGAGCTCATCAAAAGAATTGCAGTAGTCACTTCGAAGTGATACTATAAGATGGAGAAGACTCAGGAGCTGATGAAGTGGGTCTCTGATGTGCTCCTTACAATGCGTGATAATAGCAACCTCTCTCCTTACCTTGATGGGGTAAAAAGTCCTTTTGAAGCAGGTGAAGATCTATATCTAGCCTTGCAAGAAGGAGATAAAACAAGCAGAATGTTGAAAAAGGCTACAAGAAGGAATACAATATTTATACCAGGCTTTGGCGGAGAAAACAAAGCTTCGATGTTCTACAGCAGGATCAACTCTCTCATCAAGAGTGATGATTTGAAAGATCTCCTGAGTAAGGAATTTGAGAAGTTAGTAGACTGGTTCTCTAAATTCTCTGAGAAATGCGATAAAAACTTCATGGAGTTGGATCCAATTTTTCCTCTCTACAAAATGCTTGATCCTGAGAATACATTTCTGCACCCAGACCTCCACATTGCTGGTATCAGAATTCTTCGAAAAATAATAGAAATCGGTAGTAAAGAGCTACTCGGAATAGAGTCTGACAATGAAGAAGAAGAGAGCGAAGATGAAGAAGACCTTGATTACAGCGAATATATTAACTTCCTTGCCTCCAAAGGCTGCGTTGAGTTCCTCTGCGACTATATCTCAAGATGAGAGGATCACAAGGTCCTTGACGAGTGCATCTTGCTAGCAAATGCTTTGCTTCAAGGCGGGAACCAGCAATCTCAGGAACGGTTCCTTGAATACATGAAAGAGGACGAAAGCAATAGCCTTTTGCTCAAAATAAAATCAATATTGATTCGGAAGTTTGATATATGTAAGAAGCTAATCATCGAGTCTGAGTCTAAAATCAAGCAGAACGTTGATCTTTCTGATGAAGAAGACTCTGATGATGAACTCTATGACCAAATTGAAGAGGACTCTCTCACTGATGACGAACTCATTGAATCCAATAATGGCGAGATGGAGGAGATAGAAGAGGATGATATTGATATTACCAATGAAAACCTTGAGAGCTGCATCATAAATTGTAATAGAGTTCTCAGATTCCTCCAACTTCTTTGTGAGAACCACAACCTCGATCTACAGAATTTCTTGAGGGTGCAAGACCATGAAGGACTGGTAAACAACAAATCATTTGATTTTGTTTCTCATATCTCATTAATGTTTGGTACATTCATCAAAGAGTATACGAATTGTTACTCTAGTGACTTAGGAGACCAGCTTATGGCTACACTTACAGAGTTAATCCAGGGTCCTTGTAAGCAAAACCAGACTTCTCTCATTAACTGTAAGGTGATTGATAACTGTACCGAATTAATTTTCGTCTACAACTCTAAGAAAGTGCTCAGGCAAAAAGGTTTCATTGGGAAATATGAGATCGAACTTGATGAGCTTAAGCAGCACTGCGTTACGTTGCTCTTGTCTCTGATAGAAGGAAAATGAGATGAGTATATTAAGAAGCAAATGACTCAAGCTATTGATAACTTCTTGATTGTCTTCCAAAGAATGGACTCTATTTACAAGAAGTTTGTCAAGCAGAAGCTAGGCCTTGATCCTAACACAGCCAGCTTGAGTAATGTCACCAACAAATTGCAGAAGGATAGCTTTGATGGTTCTATTAGTGAAGGATTCGAGCTTTTCATACTTATCAAACTTCTTATCCAAGATAATGACCCTAGTGCCATGAAGAAGTACAAAGAGTTTGAATCCCAATGCCCTGACGAGAAAAGCCCAGACAGTCTTCACAGAAGCATGCAGTTTTATCAGAAGTTCACAGGGACTTGTGAAGTTATTGTCCATGACGAGCTCTTCAAAGTGTACTTTCCAATCCTTCCTATCTGTAGGTTCCTGAGTGCTAGCAGTAAGAAATATTTCCTTGAGAATGTTCCTAGAGAATCTCCTCAGCACAAAATAAACGGATTCTTATCTGCTATTCCTGATTTTATTGATGAAATGGAGCACACAGAAAGTCTGAGGCACGGGAAAATTAAGATTACCCCGCAAATAGTGAGTCTGATCAGAGATGTCTGCTTGTTCTTTGCATTAGTCATCAATGTACTGATCTTATATGATTATGAGTATGTGAGCGAGGTTCAAAGTAATAGCTCTGAGGCTTTAAAGCCTCAGCTAAAGCACACCTACAACGAAACCTTACTGTTTATTCTTGGAATTATCCTGATTTCTTTTTGAACACTTTTGTTATTATTATGGCTGATCACAAGTTATTCCTTGCTTAATAAGAGATATTGGAGAGACTATGTTGCCAAAAACAGGGCTGATGACCCTGAAACCTTTAAAACGCTAGAGACCAGAAACTCTTTGTCTATCAAGCCAGCTAGAGATACTCCACTAAGGGAGGCCAGGCAGATTCTCAAGTTTTATGGAATAGAATGAAGGGAGTTTATGTACTATGGGAAGCTCAACTTCGGGCATCTAATAATTAAGCTGGAGTACTATTTTCTGTCATTTACATTCATACTGAAAAATCCTAGGTTTAGGTATTTCTGCACACTGATACTCCTAGCAGTGACTGGCTTTAGTTTCTCTCCTGCTTTGTACAGTCTCCACTTGTTAGATGTAATAGAGAGGTCTCCAATATTGAGGGATGTGATCAAGTCAGTAACTCTGAACTTTATTGATCTAGTACAGACAGCCATTTTTGGGCTTGTGCTGATATATGTGTTCGCAGCCCTAGGATTCCAATTCTTCCATGATATGTACTTTGATGAAGAAGTAGAAAGAGATATCTCAGCAAAAAGAGGGGACAATACTTGTAAGACCTTTCTGCAATGAGTCGGGTCAACAATTGGATATGGCCTCAGAATGGGAGGTGGAATAGCAGACAAACTCTCTGCTCAGACTTATGACGACAATGTGTTATTCTATCTCAGATCTGGGTACGACTTGCTATTCTTCTTGCTTGTTGTAATCATCTTGCTGAATATCTTCTCAGGTATAATCATTGATACTTTTGCACAGTTGAGAGATCAAAAGACAGACTTCACGCATAATAAAAACAATGTTTGCTTCATTTGATCTATTGATCGTTACGAGTTTGATAGGAATGGGGATGGATTTGAGAAGCATATTGAAAAGGACCATCACATATTCCATTACCTCTACTACAAAATCTATATCAAGAATAAGCCTAAGACTGAATATAACGGAACAGAGTCCAATATTGGAGATGATAGCTCCTGGTTCCCCTTCCATAGAGCACTGATACTTGAGAGAGCGAAAGAGAAGGACAAAGAAGATGAGGAAGGAGTCAATGAGCTCCAGCTGAAGGTCAAGTCTCTTGAAAAACTTATCGCGACTATGGAGAAGCAGGCGGCTCATTAAGTTATTTATTTATCCTCAATTCTGCTCATTTAGCTAGGGGTTTTGGGGTTTTGGGGTTTTGGGGTTTTGGGGTTTTGGGG